CATGCTAAATTTTTTTGTATTTTAGTAGAGACAGGCTTTTACCATGTTGGTCAGGCTAGTCTCAAACTCCTGACCTTGTAATTCTCCCACCTTGGCCTCCCAAAGTATTGGGATTACAGGCATGAGCTACTATGCCCAGGCACCATTGTTATTCTTTATACAGTATTTATACTTTCATATTCTTTTGTGTCTATTCATAAAATTTAATAATTCGGATTATAAATTGAAACATTTTAAATTAGAAAGCAATAAAATCTGAAGCCTTGGCAACCGCTGGCCAGGTTAGGTAGAACAGCAGCCGTCCCTGTAGACAGCATCTCTATTACCACATTCACATTACACCAGGGCCACATACCACAATTTACTGTTCTGGGAATAGCATTTTACTTACAGCTTTTTTACGGGTTACTTATTGTCATCGCCTATTTAGTCTTTGTGGGGGGCACTTGAGTTTATGACCCTTGGACTAGGGCAGTGCTTCTGAAAGTGTGGCTTCCCAAACAAGCAGCATTGGCATCACCTGGGAACTTGTTACGAATGTGGATGTTTGGGCACCCCTCTAGACTTACTGAATCAGCAACTCTGGGAATGGACCCAGCGCTGTTTTCACAAGCCCACCAGGTGATCCTGATGCTCACATTTGAGAACAATTCTTCCGGAAGACATGACACAGCCTGGTCCAGCCCAGCTCTGGCCCCCATACTTCCTAGCCACTCCTCCTTTCTGCATCTCTTTAGTGAAGCTTTTCTTTCTCCTCTGAGAGGGTTGCACTTTCTCCTAATGGAGTAGTGTTCATTTCCAAGAGCCAGCAGGACCCTTAATTGCCATCCCATCAGGAGGAAACCTTCTTCCATTTTTCCTTACTATGTGCCATCTAAACAATTATGTTGTGATTATCAATCTACGGGCAGAGGTTGACGGACATCACTTTAGAAGTGATGCTCTCTGCAGTTTTCACAAGGCTTTTGTAGGATTGTATTAGTCCATTTTCATACTGCTATAAAGAACTGCCCAAGGCTGGGTAATTTATAAAGAAAAGAAGTTTACTTGACTCACAGTTCCCCAAGGCTAGGGAAGCCTCAGGAAACTTACATTCATGAAGGAAGGTTAAGGGGAAGTAAGGAACCTTCTTCACAAGGTGGCAGGAAAGAGAAGTACCAGCCATAGGGGGAAAGACCCTTATAAAACCATCACATCTCATGAGAACTCACTATCATGAGAAAAGCATGGGAGTAACCATCCACTGATTCAATTATCTCCCACCAAGCCTCTTTCATGACACTTGGGGATTATGGGAACTTCAATTCAAGCTGAGATTTGGGTGGGGACATAGCCAAACCATTATTAATCTCAGTGGAAAGATTAGCATGTGAACAAAGTCTGTTAAGTCTGCCTGAACATCAAAGGACATTAAGCTGGACTATAAAACAGAAAGCCTGTTAGCTTTTTTGTCTCTGCTTCCAGGAAATCATCTTCTCTGTTGTGTTGCAGCCTTTCACAATACAACACTTTCAGAGTAGCATCCTGTCTCAGCACCCTGGTTCTTCCATGGCTGAGATGAGGGGAAAGGCAGGAGTCATTTCTGAGTCTGCCTCTCCAGCCTGGGTCCCTCATGCTAATCTCAGAGGCCTAGGGAGTAGGCAGGAATAAAGGGAATTCTAATACCTGTCTTAAATGTGAGTCAGTCCTGCATCTGATAAAGTTATGTAAGCTCCATACTTTTTTCTATTTCAAGCTTTCTTTTCCCCCAAACTATTGTGTTTATACTGAATTGAATTCTATGTGCCAAGTGTGAATATGTTCCAAATATCCTAAATTTGATATTGCTGATGTAGACTGTTTAAATGTTATGAGAAATACTGAATAACATGAAGTATGCATCACTCAGCCATATAGAGTACTATTATCTCACTATTGTTTATATAGATTGGTTTTATAAATATAAGCATTAATTTCTTGAAAGAAGAATTACAGAAAATAGGAGTGAAGATATGACAGATGGAAAGAAATACAGTTTTTCTGGAACTAATATGGTATAGTAAACAAATATTGGCTCTACAGTCCACTAAATTAATTTCAAATCTTGATTCTGCCATTTTACTAAAAGTATAGCCATGAGCAATACTTTTAATTCCTTTAATTCCTTGTTTGTATAATCAGGACTACAGAAACACCAGATTGATAGATTTTGGTGAGGATTAAATGAGATAACACATGTAAACCCCTTAGCAGTGTCACCACCTAGTAAACTCTCAATAATATATAACTGATGTTTATGGCAAGAAATAAGACCAGCAAAACAGATCAGAACAAATTCCAAATGGAGTTCAGATCTCTTCTAAGGAATTTGTCGAACATATTCTACAAGTTTTGATAAGTAACATATTCAAAACTTACTTCAGGAAGATAAATTTTTGTGAGAAGTTCATTGGGAAAGAGAAAAAATTAAGAGACAAAACTTGGGAGAACAGTTACAATAGTCCAGGTTAGAGGTGACTCTTCCATAAGCCCTCCCAGTGATTCTGATGCTCACATTTGAGAATCATTCTAAGAAATTTTAGGAAGAAAAGAAGAGGCAAAGAAAGAAAAATTTGCCCATGATCATTTAGTGGCCACTCCCTGGCTTGATTCTGAGAATGGAGAAGTTTTGAGTTAAAAGCTGAGTTAACTAATGAAAAAGGAAGAAAGAGAAAAGATGACAGGAGGACTCTCACCTGAAGTAGGGGGATGATGGCAGTGCCAGTGATAAGGGGTGTGGAGATAGTATTTTAAGAGTGCAAACCCATGCTACAGGGAGAAAGGTATCAACATTAGTGGAAACGAAAGGAGTTTTTAGAAAACCTAGGATAAATGTGTACATCAGCCAGACTGTATAGGAGGCAAAAAATAGAGAGTGGCAAAAACCATCTTCATAGCTCAAAAGTGAGAGGGAGTCAAGAGCACAGGGGCAGCTGCACGGAGTTGGATTAAGGTTCTAGACCAGGCGTACTACACAGACATCACTTTCTGTTGCCCATCTTCTCCTGCTAATAAGACCCCCCCCCTTGTTGCACTGACATTATCAAAGTGAATGCAAATGAGGTGAACCACAATAATGGGCAGAACTGCACCTCGTCCAGCACAACCTGGTGAAGGTCTTCAGAGGAGGGGATGTGGGGAGTAGAGGATTTTTGCCACACACAGAGGAGCGAGACCACAGAAGAAATAATTCTTTACAAAGAAACTCAGGCCAATCCTTTCCTAAGTACTCGAGGACTATTCCTTCTCATGATGACTTTTAGTTGAATCATAGTAGAGCAAAAAAAATCAAGGGAGAAGGCTGCTGCCTGGAAGCAGTCCTCAAGAACCTTGACCCCAGAAATGTGGATGAGCTCTCTCTTGGTGTTTGTATAATGTGGCTGGGGGTTGCTCCATGGTGGGTCTCACTGGTCAGCTTGCTCTGTTTGCCATTTACTGAGACCCAAGAGGCTTTACCCTACCCAGAGGCAATGACAAAACAGAACAGAGAGTCAGCAGTGGGCAAGGAGAATGATGTTTCTTTTTAACAGTCAGAAGCACAGAAATTAAACTTGGGAAATGGGTCTGGATCACAGCGTTTTGAGAACCATTACTGAGGTCTCTGTTCCTAATTTAGGATACTTTCTATGTAACAGAGAGGAAGATCTTCATACATTCCTATCTGGTAATAGCATTAAAATCAACTGGGTATGATGGTTCATGCTTGTAATCCCAGCACTTAGAGAGGCCAAGGATGCAAGATCACTTGAGCCCAGGAATCAGACCACCCTGGGCAACATAGCAAAACCCCATCTTTACAAAAATTTAAAAATTGGTGGCACGTGGTGGCACGTGGTGGCACATGCCCAGCTATTCAGGAGGCTGAGATGAGAGGATCACTTAAGCACAGGAATTTGAAATGGCAGTGAGCTATAACAGCCTGAACAACAGGATAAGACCCTGTTTCTAAGAAAAATGAAAATAAAATCTAGAACATTTAGGGGATGGTTGAGTTTTAATGTTTTTCTCATTATATGAATTAGGCAAAAAGTCTCCTGAAGAGTATTATCCTATTTTGCCATCATAATTAGCATAGAATGTGGCTGATTCTCCTCTCGATTTATTTTCTATCTCACATACCATAAAAGTCACTGATCTGAAAGTTTTCACAAATACACAGAGACCTGTCACCACCCTTGCCATCAAGTTCCATCACCCAAAACATGTTTTTCTTATGCTGTCCCTTTACAGTCAGACCACCTCCCCTCCCCAGCCCCTGGCAACCACTGACCCTTTCTGCAATGCAGAAATGACAGCTGCATTGAAGGTTAAGGCCTGAGGCTTCGTTATGATTTGCTGGTATTGTAACAACAGTTAACAGCAGTAATAGTATTATATAACACATATTTGCATTTCTATTGTGTCAGGCACTTTTGAAGCACTTTGTAGATGAAGAACTGGGGCCTTAAGAAATTTTAGAAAGGAAAGAGGAGGTCAAGGAAAAACGACTGCCCACAGTCATTTAGTGTTCACCCATGGCTTCACTCCAAGTACGTTGGACTCCTAGACCCATTTTCTTAACCTCTATCTGATTCTGCCTCCACGGAAGATAGAAAAGCAGGACAAAGTAGAAGGGATACCTACCAATTCCAGGAAGCTCAGTTTAGATCCAGGATTGCCTTACTCTTACAAAAAAAGAAGGAAAAAAAAGCTTATATAAGAGTTTGATTAATTATACCAATAAAACAACAACTGGATATAAGATAAAATGAAACCAGGATCCTAGAACACCTTCCTTACAGCCTTTGTAAAATGCAATGAAGATAAAGCCTAGACTTATTTTGTTCCGTCATAAACTTGACCAGGCATGTAAAGCAAAACTTTAAAAAATTCTCTGATCACATATTGAAATGCTCTGTCAATGTCCTGGAGCATCAACTTCCTTTTGTATTTATTAAAAAGAAAAAGGGATCTTTATTGTCAGTCGTGTGTGTGTTTTTCAGGTTGGAGTCCCCAACCCGGTCTCTAGTGATGGAGGCCCCAAAAGGAGTAGAAATCAATGCAGAAGCTGGCAATATGGAAGCCACCTGCAGGACAGAGCTGAGACTGGAATCCAAAGATGGAGAGGTGAGGGGTGAGAAGGACAGACGTTCAAAGAACTACAGCTCCATAGGCCAACCCATCCCTCCAACAGGCCAACCCCTCCCATAACTGGTTGGCCTCAGAGTTGGATCAACAAAAGGAGCCAAGCAGGTTTCATTTCTGAAATGATGAATTGAACAGCATGATTACAAGCCAAACCCACAATCCATCAAAGTAATGATTTATTTGTAAAATGCAGAGATAATGGCATGTATTCCAAGTACAGGATTACATGACCATAAAAATGAATGCTATTTTCAAATTCTCTCATCACCTTAAAATAAGATTTTGTTAGTCAACATAATTAAGCTGTATATATTACACATCTGGCTAAAGATGAACTTAATTCACTTGTTGTTACTTTGTGTCACATGTTTCTGTTTTCATTGGAAATGGGGAGGCAGATTGAACAGCTGTCCCAACAAGAACAAGCCAAAACTTAATAGGATAAGACTAGGCAACAAGGGAATGAAACAGTGCAGATATTAATTCTCTTAGGCTAACACAGTCACAGTTGGGTGAACAGAAATATTGCTTCTGTTTTTGCAAGCAAGACAAGCCAATTGCCACCCACCCCCAAAATATGATTTGTCTGTAAACTTTTAAAAATGCCTTCAAAGTGTTCCAAAGTGAACTCTGCTACTTAATCATAAAAATAAGAGTAAAAATTCTGGGTTTTTTTTTTTTGTAAGAAAAATGCTGTTCCACCTGACCATTCAATGAAAGTGGTTATCAGTCTCTACCTGCTTCTGTACATCCACTCTATGGATATAAAAGTCCCCCTTTTGATTGGTATGGCGTTTGCTATTTTGTTTTAGAAGAGATAGAGCATCCAATTATCAAAACTGCCTCTTCAAGCAGCCACAAACTGCAAACCACACATATAAAAGTAGTGACCACCTCACATATGCAGTTTATAGCTGTCCGAACTTGAACTCTGGAGGAATCAGTCATAATCATAAATCTAATGGCACCTTCCACCACTGCCTATTTTTATAGACATGTTCTTCTCAAAGTATATTCTATAGACTATCAGCCCCATAAATTGTTAGAAAAAGAGAAAAAGCAGAAAGGCTCATTAGCATTTAAAAGTTGGAAAATGTTACCCACTCTATTCTCTTCTTGAACGCTCACCTTGCACACAGTCGTAGTAGGATCTCAGAAGTCCGTAGTAGAGAAAATTGTTAAATGCCGCATTTGCACGGTTATTGAACTCTAGGACTCCATTCACATTCTGTATGACATTTTTCACAAAATGCTAACATAGACCAATGCAGCATTACCTTGCTAGAATTTAAGCTTCTGTGAAAGTAGAGACTTTGTCTTGTTCGTGTCCAAATCCTCAGTACCAAAAGCAATCAACACATAACCCATGCTCATTAGATCTAAGTTGAATTGAACATTCATTTGCTGTTTCTGAATGTCAAGAGAAGAGACGACAGCCTCTGACTGATCCTCTCCTTCCTATTCTCTCTTTAGATTAAGTTAGATGCTGCGAAAATCAAACTACCTAGACTGCCTCATGGATCCTACACGCCTACAGGAACGAGGCAGAAGGTCTTCGAGATCTGCGTCTGCGCCAATGGGAGATTATTCCTGTCTCAGGCAGGAGCTGGGTCCACTTGTCAGATAAACACAAGTGTCTGCCTCTGAAAGACTATCCATAGTGGACATTGTCAGCAGCATCAAGGCCTTTTTTTGGCTTTAGACACTGGCTGCCAGCTATTTTTACTAGAACACAGAAAGCCTATCAAAGACCTTTTGTGTGTGTGTATGCGTGTATGTGTGCGCTTGAGTGTGTTTGCGTATGTGGGTGGATATAAATATATATAAATATATATAAATAAATATATATATCCTCTGTATAAAATGAGGTTTCAGTACAAAAGGAACCATGGGTGACCCTGTGATAGCCACTGTCATTTTTCATCCCATCCCCACCACCTATGTGATAAAAATCTAAATACACATCCGTCCCAACATTCCCCAGACTATTCGGAATCACACAGCATATTGGACACCGACAGAATCTTCATCTAGATGTTCGAGCAGCAACATATCTTCTCCTTTAGTGTCATTACGAGGGAGTGATGGCGGGAATCTCAAAGTCGCACTCCAGCTCTGAGACCTTTGTATCAAAAATAGGCATTTGGTTTCCTGTTTAAGCTTTAGTAAAGCTGGCCAACCTTCCCCTCCTCAAGGTAGGAACTGGCAATGCTGTAGAAGTCAGCCACATGAACCCAAAATGGCTACCCTACCTTGGCAGCCAAACATAGTGAGGTTTTTGTAGTTGAATGAATGAGGAAGATGAATTTCAGCACATTTTGAACTACTCACCGAACTTCTGCTGTCTTGCTCCCTCAAACTCCCAGACTCTCCCACAATCAAATTAGGAGCTGTAAATCAGCACAAAATAAGATAACAGCTGCTCCTCAGTCAGCTGGAAGCTACTCAACGGCCTGACAGGCAATGAACAAATGGGTGATATGTCTCTGTTTAAAGGAAAAATGGCTTAAAAGCTGTTTTATTCCCACTTCTGACTTTATCCAGTATATTTCAACACACAATGATCAGGTTAATCAAAATCCCCAAGAGCAGAACTCCTACCCCAAGAGAAGCCTGGATGTCTAATTAAGAGTAGCATAAGGAACCTAATTATGTTTACTATGTTTCTTGGGATTGGTGGGTAATGTCAAAACATGTCCTTTATTTTTAAAGGCATGCACAAACTCTATGACTTTGATCTTCTTCTTATATTTGTGCTGGGATATTCATATTCCTAAATCCACTAATGTGTTTTCTCTAAGAAGAATTACATGCCACCAGAATTGCTCACTGAAAGATAATATAAACTGAGTCAAATGTCTTTATGAGAATCACTGTGTCCCATGGGGCCCAGCAGTACCTCCTCCCCTGTATGTGGAAGCAGCACCCTAATTCCCGCCATCAGCTACCTCTCATCACCCCACCTTCATCATCATGCTCCAGGGTCACCCTGGCCAGCTCTTGTGCTGGGACAGGAGATTACACCATCTCTGTTCAAAGAGGAGGAAATGTGCCTATGCCTTAAGTCAATGCACTCAGCAAGGAGAAGCACATCTAATTTATCTTGTTACCTATAGTTTATTTTGGAGATTGGAGGAGAATGACTTAGTTATGACTGGACATCTTAAAAGCTGATAGATAAACCAAATGGTTGGCAGATGAGGACTCTCGAGAGCCCAGAATGAACTCATTGCTGGCTTAGACAGTCCTGGATGCCATTTGGAAAGCAGTGGCCCCGCAAGTCTAAATGAAGTAGTATTTGTAGGCCTGGGTGGCATTTGAGTTTGTTTTTCTTTTCCCTCAACGAGGTTTTAATTTTTCTTACTTTACAAGCAAGGGGAGTTTTGTATAGGAGATAAGTAAAAGATTTAATATTTTTTTGAGATGACACTCAAGCATCAGGCTGAGATTTGCACACATGGATGTAAAAGCAAGCTGTGTGTTGCTCAGTCACTTACAAGTAGTTGGTGGGGGATGGAGGATGGGTCCTAGCCTGGCCAGTGATGAACCAGTGATGTTGCTGGCATCCAGACCCCAACACTCAGTATTTCATCTGGAGAGTTGGGCTGGTCATTCTTAGGGTGAGACCCAGTGATCGGTTGGTTTGCAGCACTAGGATCTAAAAAGGAAAACAATGAAAGACATCAGATTACTCTGGATCAGTAGAATTAATATCCCACAGGGCCATGCTGCCAGAATCTGCATGTATCAATACAGCGTTTTTCCAAGCCAGGAAAGGTCCTCCTTGGCTACTAGGATCACTTACCCCATATCATTCAGATAAACAATAATAGCTACAAAGTCGTTTGTGGCTAGATACGTTAAGACAGGTGATTTTTTTTTAAGTAGACACTCTTTGCATTTTGCCATCTCAAGTTCATTCTCTTTGGATGACAAAAGAGCAAAAAGCTCCCAGAACATCTTCCTTAGATTTTGTTCTAATCACTACATGAAAGAATGATATTAGTACCAGAAGTTTTATGCCAATAAAAAAGACTGGTGTGATTCCACATGCGAAATTTAATCCTAAGGGTAATGAGATCACAAATAGAATAAAAATAAGAACAATCAACAGTATATATCAAGTACCTATTGGGAACAGATATGATAAAATTCTATTTTTCATTTATGCTAAGTGACCGCAATATACAAAGTAATAAGCAGGAAATTTGATATGGCTTAAATTATGTATTTCAGTTCAGATTTCAGAAATTGGTAGTAAAATGCATTCTAAGTTTCTCAATGTACATCTTTTTATCCCAACACCCTCAAACTAGAATATCTGTCCATGGTCATGAGAAAAAATTTTACCTGAATTCTTGGGTGGGAAGAAAAGCTTTTACATTAAAATCTACTAACACCTACTTTTTAAAAAATGAGATTCTTTCTAATCTTTATATGTGATATTTTCTAGACAATCACGCCTTTGGGTATATTAAACAGACGGTATCATAAAGAGTTCAAATAAACCTTCAATATACTAGAAGTTCTAGTATGTTAATATTGTTCAGAAGATTTTTACAAATTAAAACTGATTTCCAAATATGTTACATTTACTTCTATTTGATATCTGCTCAAGAATTCATAGAAGTCTTAGGAAACTATTCAAGTATCACAGAGGCTTTCAAAAGCCCTTATGGTGACATCTACCAAGGTAAAATCCTGACATGTGGCTTTATAATTGTTACATTATCCAAGGTATAAATGTTATAAACTTGAAGTGGCTTTGATCATCCTTTAGGTCATTTTCTCTATGGATAGTTTTCATAGCATATCCAGCAATTGTAGACCAACGTTTGCTTGAGGTTTGACCCTAGAGCAGAGGTCAGCAAACTACCACTGAGAAACCAAATCTGACTCACCACCTTTTCCTGTCAATAAAGTTTTATTGTCACATAGCCACATACATTCATTTATGTTTTCTAATTTTACATTACAGCAGCAGGGTCAACTAGTTGTATCAGAGACTATGTAGCCCATAAAGCATAGAATACTATTTAGTCCTTTACAAAGTTTGCTGACCCCTGACCTGGAGGTTTTTGTGGTATGCGTTCGAGAGAGCAGGAAAGAAAGCACATTTCCCAACAGCAGGGAGTAAGCTTACGTTTCTGTGTAGGCTTGGGAATATGTTACATGGCAAAGTGTTTCAGGAAGTCCTTCCTTACCCTACATGTGGAAAGCCTGCTTTCCAAGCCATGTGGAAGTAAGCAATTTACCTTCCAGGGAAACAGAGGCTCAGAAGAGTCCTGGGAACAGGGAGGATGGAATTAGGGGAAGCCTAGTAGAAAAGGAAAGAAGTTACAATCTTCCAAGACCCTTCATAGACAGATACGTACCAGGCCCTGCAGTCCAGCATCATTGTGTAATGAGAAGTGAAGTAGGGGACCCTATGGTTTACCCTGAGAATCTCTTTCTTGTAGAGACTATTTCTGCTGTCTATATTCATATCAAGTTTTCCACCTCACCCTCCCATAGTCCAGAGGATGCCCATTCCATGGTCGTCTGGAGAATATTTTTGACTTAACATGTCTTTTTCTCCTCCATCACTTCAGTTATCAACACTGCCACTCTACTTATTGCTTAAGCCACACCAGGCTTGAAGGGTTAGTGAGAACAATAAATAATTGGAAGTATTGGAAAAAGCATCTTAAAATACATGGGAACAGAAAAATAGAGTAAAATTCTTTTCATCAGATGATTCTGGGAGGAACCAGATGAATACCAGTTTGGTTTTATTTCTAAGAAGCTGGGTCTTTGTTCTGTGGTGTAGAAGGAATGCAAAACACAACAACAACAAAAGACACATTTTGAAAAGACATATTGCTGACATCTCTGCTTCCGTGTGGTAAGGCAGCTTCCTATCAGACATTTGTCCCTTCAGTCAACATCCCTTTTGATCATCCAGGGCTTCATATTCAATATGAAGTTTAAAAAAACAAATAAAAAATATTATCAGCTGTGGATGACTCTTTGGATGTATGAGTATTCATGATAAGGAGGAAGGATTTTTTTAAACGTAAATGACCCCCATTTACTAGACCCTAATCAAAGTCACTTAAGGGAATCCCTCAGCCATTTATTTGGAAACAGCTGAAATATAATTAAATTGGCAACACTGCCCTTAGCAGCAGCTCAATCAGAGGATCTTGCTTTGTTTATTTTAGGCCAAAAGTAGCATGAGGTTTGGACCAAAGAGGTAAATCGATCCATACCCATGTTTCAAGGCTCTATGAAAGGTCAAAAATTTCATTAAACAAGACCAGTTCTCCCTCTTCCCCCTGTCCAAAGGAATCTTAGGCACAAAAAGGATAAGGAAACAACTCCTGGAATGATACATTTGCATGGTGCCCTAGTAGCAGATCAGGAAAAAGTTTTAATAAAAGAAACAACCTTCGAAAACAGGCCTTTTATCTCAAAGATAAAATGTCTCTCTTGCGGTCTTTCATCACTATCTCCTTGGTGGAAGGTTCCCCTAGTTCCAACATATTTCCATTAAAATAGTCAAAGCTACGGCATTGGGATGTCAGATGCATCTCTTTCTTTGTGGTAATCGGAATTTAAAATTATACAGTTGCCTCTGAATTTCTCATGCACAAAGCCAAGCCACTGATAAGAGATAAAGCGGTCTGAAGCCTGCTGCTTCAGCCAGCACAGCACACCACATGCATTCGCACTTTCAAAAGCAATGAGATTTCTATGGTTCTTAAAAGCTTTCTTCACAATGGAGTCCTTGAAACTTCTCAAGGCAGGTCTGAATGGCAAAGGGAAAATAATGACTTGTGGGAGGTCTTCTCTTGAGTATTGTTAGAACACACATAGAAACTTTTGGGGCAACCCATGCTCACATATGCTATTTTCTTTGGTTCTCCCCCTACATTTCTTTTGTAGATACTGACAAAATAGTAGGAAATTAGCATCCTCATTTGAGAGAGAAGAATGTCACGAGCCCTTGATGCAATAGTGTGATGTCATAATACAGTATTAATGATGCTATCAATAAACAGCCTCCAACCTTCCAACAGCAGAGCTCACTGCTGCTCCTCAATTTTAGCCCAGCAAGCAGTAATAAATATCAGCACCCGTTTTGAGATTTGCAAGTGAAATAGAACAAAGAAAAAGTCACTGTAAGCAAGAAGCATGTTTAGGGTCTAAATCCACCTGTTGCAATAGGAAGCCAGAGTGGGGTTCCAAATGCCTCATTAGGCATGTGGACAGCCTCACTAGTAAGTGAGTTAATTTGGCTTCATCACTGAACATTAGCTAAGGTCAGCTTAATCACACAATTACAAGGCCAGCTTCTTTGGGAGAAGACAAAAGAAAACATCTGCTTAATCTAAAATCTACTCCATATGCCTAGAGTTGTCTAAAAGTCCCTCACCTTCCAATGTCTTCACAGCCTACTTCTACATTTGGGGATTTTTGGTGAAATCAGAGGTAGCTCAGAATTTCATAAAATGAGAAATTCCAAACTGGTCTATTACGTTCCATGGGAACACTGTAGCAAAAGGATTGTCTAAGGGCAGGAAGAAGACACTTATAAACAAGAAAGACAGTGTTTCTTTAGTTCCCAGATTCATCTAATTCATGAGTTTCTAACATTTTGGGGGGCCCTAGATTCTTTTGACAATCTAAGCAAATTTATGAAACCCAAAAAGAACCATCCCACAAAATCTTGCAAAACATCAAAGAGATTTTCCTGGAGCTAAAGCCTACCCTAAGACATGGGCAGAATTCTATTCTTCAATGTTAAGAATATTTATTAATATTCATTGAGCTATTGCTAGGCACTATGCTAAACATTTTACATGCATTCTTTCATTTCATCCTCAAAACAATCCTTTGAGTTGAGTTCTAATACTGTTCCAACATACGGATGTGGAAACTGAGGCTCAGAGTGGCTAAGAAACTTGCCCAAAGCCACTAGCTAGAAAATGGCAGAGCTGGAATGTAGTTTTAACTCCCAACCACTCTGCTATAAAGTCATCACATGTTAAACTATTTTTTTAAGTTGTTGGGACTTGTCCCCTACTAGGTTTTAAACTAGATCTTCTTGGGTGGATGAGGCTATAGAACTTCTATTTCCCTGCTTTCTGTAGTCTCTCACAGTGACAGCATCCATACTAAAGTATAGATACCTGAGGTGAAAATACAGAAAGCCTGCCTGAATAATAGAATCTAGAACACCAAAAAATTAGTTTGCTCTGTGTGTGACTTCTTAAGTCAAGCTTTAAAAAAAAAAAAAAATAGATTGGAAAATACCTGGATGGTTAGCCTCACATTTAGGATAAAAATATCAGTGATCTGTGGGTGTGGCTAAGCAAGTCAGCATTTCCGCACACATACATCTTTCCTTTGCACTTCCCTTCAAAAGACAAACATCTTACTTTAGAGGTTTGTCAGTATTCTTCTCTACCTTTACTTGTGGCAAAACTCAAGGGAGGGATCAAAGAGAAGGAAGCTCGGCTTTGTCATTGTCTCTGTTTCCCTATAACAAAGAACTACCAAGGATTCACTGACTGCACTTAGGCATACAATGACAGAGCTGAGCTGACCACTCTGGTTCTGTAATGGCTTCAGCCCCACACCCTGGCAGCCATCATTAATGGGCCATACCCTTCCCCAAATGGAGAATTCTCCTCACCAGAGCACTCAGGACATCACTACCAATTCATCTGAGTTGGAAATGAGACTCATTTGCCAATTCTTGTTTTTAAAGTGGCACCCTTTAACCTTGACCCTGGCCTCCTACATTCAGCAATGAGGATGGTGGTGTTTCAACTGGGAAAGGAGAAAATGAGTGCATCTGAAGGTCCTTACAGCCTGGTTTCTTTGGAACGCTTTCATCTTCTAAGCGAAGAGATCAGGCTTTGATCCATAAGAGTTAAAAGACAAAGTCCTTTTGAAGAATTAACTCATCCAGGGATCATCCAAACAGATCAGAAATCAGAATGCCCTTGTTTAAAGCCCTGCTGTCAACCTGCCTTCACCCAGAGCTTAGGGGGCCACAGCAGCAAAGAAGTTGGGGTCTATCCCGCTCTCATGTGCTTTTTCCACAACACATACCTGGTCCTCTGGGAGGAATGTGGATAGAGCTCCTCACCATATCCAAAAGACTCAGCCCCAGTGCCAGTCCTTGATTGGTTCAACACCCCCCACAAAACCTTAGTAAAGGGATGAGCCAAGAATGAAAAAAGACTCTACAGTAAGTCAGTCAGGATTTCTTTTAAATGGTGTAGCATCCAAATGACAAGCCAAGAATAGATCATCATTAAAGGGTCTCATAGGACTAACCTCACCAGAGCCAGAAATCTGGCTCTCTAGAAGAGATGGAAGATTCTAGAAAAGTAAAGGGAAGTGTTGGCTCATCTAAATTTAGTGAACACCAAGCTGACTTACTTTTTATCTATTGTTTCCGTGAGGAGGGGAACAAAGTTTTTCATGTATCAACCACCTCTCCCAGTCAGGTTTCTCCCTTTTTGAGATTATGAAGAAACTGAAACATACTTCTTTAAGGAGGTTGTGTTTCAGAAGGAAAAGGTAGAGGCCATCCACCATTATGCTAGTTAGATGCGCTTCTGAAGAAGCCAGATTCCGACGTTCTTAACAGAAATGGTGAAGTAATAATAGTCCCATTTGCTTGGAGATTTTGAAAAAGAAACTCCATTCCCATAAAGCAATTGAGTTGAACCTTTGGGTTATTTTTGGTTTGGTTTGGTTTTTCTCTGGGTTTGGGTGTGATGTAAGAAGAGCATTTTAGTTTTGTTTTGAATAACATCAATCCTTGCACACTCTATGCAAAAATTTTGTAAGCATTGCAATAATGCTATGAATTACAAGGAACTATTTTAACTTTATTACACTTTCTGTATAAAAAATTTGTATTTAATATTATTTCAACTGCAGTCTTGTAAAATATATTAATAAAAATAATGATTGGTAAGAAGGAAAGTACCCTTGTCCACTTCTTTAGGGAATTCCTCTCTTACAGATGATAAATCAGTCACTCCTATTGACTCTACCTCAGAAATAAATTTTCAGATTAACATCTCTTCCATGTCTTTTTGATCAGTTGGGTAAGCCATTTTGCCTCTTGGGAAGAGATTGACACAGGTTGCCTTATGAAAAGAGAGCTTACTGTAAAGGTAATACATGGCCTGGAATTTGTGAGTTCCCAGGATGTGGAGCATGTTAAGGGAACAGCCATCCTCAATTTCTTTTCTAATGACCTACATAGGCTCCTCTGGCCACAGTTTACCACTTCCCTCTTCACCACTCCCTTCTCTATTTTTGAAGAAGGAAGCCGGATTGGTTCCTGTTAGGTAAAACCTTTTCAACCAGGCTGCTTTAGCGCTCCTGGTTAGCCTACAAATAAGCCATCTTTGAGTCAGGTGCTCATCTCTCCTGCTCCCCTAGATGGGGCCATGGATGAGACAATCGGTGAAAAAAGGGCAAGGTGGTAGAACCACTTGGATCCACTCCCCACAATAATTCATTTTGAGCACCTCATCTCTCCTGACTTTCCACAGTGACAAGTCAGTGGACATGCTAGAATCTGCCTAGAATGTGTATCTATCTAACGCCACCCACCCCAGGATATTATCCTTCATAATCTCATCCACACATTGTCTTCTCTCCATGGCCCTTGTTATTCTTCTTTGATTCTCTCATTTGTTCTAACTTTTTGTATAACCCTACATTGTACTATGATTTATACCCATTTACTTATCTATTTGGGGCCTTGAAAATCCTTATACACATTTTTAAGGTTAATATAGAATCAAATATATATATCTAAGTTGATCTTCACAATCATATTATAAGGTAGATAGGTAATTATCTCATCTAGAAAATCTAAAACAAATTTTACATATCTAAGATGTGACAGAAACAATGTCTGTTCCCAAGTGGATTTCCATCAAAGGCTACATCTTATTAATTTATGTCCTGACTCCAAATATCACTGAAGAAACATTACAGAACTCCCAAGATAAAAGGATATAACAAAAATGTTATTCCCAGGCAGAGCACAATTTATTTCCAAAGACACAGTAATTTTATTACCTGGCTTCTCTTTTGAGAAAATTTACCAACAAAAAAAAAAAAATCTAAATCAAAAGTAATGAAATCTCTATTTAAGAGACTTAGTGAGAAAAACAACTGAATCTTAGCCAAAAAGATAAACTCTAATGAGAAACAGAAAGGCTGTTACTGACATGTCAAACTAATTGACATCATTGTTGAAACAAAATTAGAAAGCAGATAAAATACCAGGAAGATAAAATTAAAAAGCTCTATGCCTTGTCTTCCAAGGAAGGAAGGTTTAAAAAGTAGCAAATAGGTATAAATCACCAACTTTGAGATTTCTTTGATATTTACCCCTTTAAAAGAGATGTAAGATTCTGTGGCTCACTTTACCCTAAGAAAAGAACCAGATTAGAGGGGAGCGGAATAGGGATTAGAGCATAAAGGAATAAACAAAATGCATTTTAGAAAAACTTGTGAGCATTGTGTATGAATTAGCATCTCCGGTTGAGTCCAATGATAGGGTAATTTTAATTTGTGACCATCAAACGTTAATTACTCTCAGTGATACCAAACTCTTGCAGCTGAGGCTCAATATACAGCCCCCAAGAAAGACCCTTCTGACCCATTAATAGACAGATAATGGATGAGCCTTTAAGACTCTCTGGCACGAGTAATTAAACAAATTAAAAAAACACTTGTGAGATTTTTCCAGATAGCTCTCACTAAAATCTAATATGGGCACATAAAATGTGAAAATATAATCTTCCAAATTATATTATATTTTAATAGGAAGTAAGCATGTGGAACAGCAAAATTTAGGATAATATTAAATCAAGGGTAGAAATTATAAGAGCACATAATCAGTTTTAATCTATTAGAAGATGAAGTCGAGCTTTGCATTTAAAAATAATTGGGGCAAAAAATTAATCTATTAAACGGAAATAAAAGAAAAATCAATATTTTAAAGTAGACATTATGGCAAAAAGTATAGGAGAGATGCAGGTTAACAAATTTATAATGATAAAATGCCCTGTCTTATTGATTATACATGATTAAAGCCTGTGCTCAGCAGGCAAGTAACCAAAAACAAAAATCCAAAACTTTGAAAAGTAAAAAGAAGAAGAAACTTGACAAATTTAATTATAAGGGAAAAATTTTAACTACTCTGTCATATAACTTAAAAATTGGCAAAGCAAAAAAATTAACTCATAAACACCTTGTCTATTCTCTCTACACATGGCAGAAAAGAAACTTCTCTTTGACTGTCAATCATCATATAAATGAAATAAATATTGTCTCAGAAAGAAAATGTTAAACTTTTCAGACTATATTCCCTGAAAGTAAAAATAGACAATATATTTTATATTCCCTAAGATCCCAGGAATTTAAAACACTTCCCTAATTGATGATTTGAGAAGGAAGCCTATTTAAAGAATAATAGTTAAAAAATGCTACAAATGATGAAATTTGACCAAAGCAGTCTTTGACACAATAAGAGCATTTCAACTTGTCAACAGAGAAATGAATAAAGCATTCAACTAAGATTCCAGAACAATCAAAAACAAAAATCTACGAAACCAAGATGGAATAAGTCATTCTAGATTTCACATCATAAAATATTAAAACTAAAAATCTAAAAAAACTGCTGATAAATCTAAAATATTAAAATAAGCTTAATAACATATGAAATAAAAACATGTTATAGCAACATAATTCCTCATAGTAGAAAATTTTGATGAAATGTACAATTTTGAAAAATTAACCATAAAAAATTGGTAAAAATTAGTATAATTAGTAAAAATTAGTGCTTGTTTCTTAAGTAAAAGTGAAATAATTTTTGTTTAGGAAATTCTACCAAAATATACATTTTCTGACCTAATATTACATATATATAATGTACATGGCATACTTATATACAATCATAAATTAACATGTGAAAAAAATGCCATAATTGATCTGCTGTAACCTATGCCAGAAAAAAACTAAATAAATTTGAGAGAGATAAATATTAAATGAAGAGACCAACTCTTAACTATAGACTAAAACTGATAAAGACTTTTAAAATTGTTTTTCTTTAAATTAATTTACACATTTAACAAAATGCCAATACTTTTAAATCACAATGGAAATTTTCTGGGAAGTAGATAAAATAATTCCAAAATTGACCAGGCAAAATGAAAGAAAAAACAGGTAAAAAAAAATTCTCTAAGAAAAATCATTAAAATTACAAAAACCTAACAGACTGTTTAAAAATCACAAAATGGCAATAATGAAAATAATATTTCCAAATCGAAGACATAGATCAATTACATTTGGTATTATTTTCCTACCTGAAAAATACCCTTCGCCTTTCTTTGCCCAGCTTTCCCTTGCTCATCTTCTAAGATTTTGCTGAGATATCCCTCTTCATGAAGGCTTCTCTGACTTGTTCTCTTAATGGACCAAGTAAAACTTTCCCTATACTTTCAGGCCACACTGGACACCCATGATAGAGGGCAACCTCTCTCACAGTTAACATTGTACTGAAGCAACTTATTCATTCTTCTGTTCAGCCTGCTGGAATACGGCTGAAGAACAGATGCACAGCTTCCTATTTTATCACTCTAGCCTAGCAGAGTGCCAGGCATCTAAACGGAAATGGTTGACTTGAACAGACTAGAAAACCCAGAAATAAACTCAAGTGAATATAAGAATTCATCATCTATCAATTTACCAGTTCAATATAGCACTTATTCTTAAACATTCCAAGACAGAGAACAAGAACAAGATGGTGATCGCTGTACTCAGCTTACACATGGGCAATCTTAGAAAGAAACACAGTTTATGTGTGAAATAAGCAGTGATCCAGGAGAACATACCGCCAGGGAAGCCGATAGCCAGAACACCATTACAAAGCAAGGGAAGAGGTAGTGATTACTTGATTATTTTTGGGAAAACAGATCTGCAGTTTCCTCGGTAAGACCGAGGGGACTTCAGAGTCACACCTTAAGTTAACTCCGGTGGACCAGAGTCAAATATTTTTGTTCATCTGGCATCTATTGAATGCCTATTCCCTTGTAAATAAATAAAACATTGTCTTTATTCTTGAGTAAATATATCAGAGCCTAATGAGGTAAACAAGGACCTAAAATGATCACTTATAATACAGTATGATCTCTGAAAAAAAAAAAAGACCAAAGAATAATAGGTCATAGAATAAAACCCTATTTAGGATTTGAGGAAGAATGACAAGGACAATCTCAAAAAGGAAAAACTGGCACATTCATGCATATGCAATTCTTTTTCTTTTTTTTTTTTCCTCTTAGATACAGAGTCACCCTCTCACCCACGCTGGAGTACAGTGGCACAGTCTCAGCTCAATGCAACCTTCACCTCCCAGGTTCAAGCAATTGTCAAGTCTCAGCCTCTCGAGTCAGTGGCTGGGACTACAGGCACATACCACCATGCTCAGCTAACTTGTTGTATTTTTAATACAGATGGGGTTTCACCATGTTGATTAGGCTGGTCTTGAACTCCTGACTTCAGGTGATTCAACCGCCTCAGCCTCCCAAAGTGCTGGGATTACAGGAATGAATCATAGTGCCTGGCCCATATGTAATTCTTAAGTTCTTTCATCACCTGCTCCATTCCCACAAATAAGAGAACTTCAAATAATCACAATAAAGTACACAAGAGAAATGGTTAGAAATTACGAACTTTGAGAAGTACATGCAAATTAATTCTTATTAAACCATCAAGATGTCAATAAATACATGAACAAAGAGATAAGCACATAACGCACACAAGTGAAAAGGTAGTTTTTCCGTTCTAGAACTTTGGAAGACAGCACAATAACCACTTTTCAAGAAAAACAGAGGAACACTACCACATTAAATATTTTCTTGATTTTAAGATTCAATGTGATTTCACAAATGGCAAAAAAC